TTTTGTGTAGCAGGAAATTCGACATTGAAAGTTGGCAATACGGCGACACTGCCAACGGAGACACTGGGAACACAGTGCGTATGAGTTATGTGTGTCGAGCATTGCCCTTCGTAAAAGTCTTGGGAGCGCGCCAAAACATGTAAATGGAAGCAACGCCAACATGTTGCATGTTGGACGACGATTCCTGCCGCTGCTGGCTGCCTGTGGCTGAGATTTTATGAATGAAAGAGCTTGCCAACTGAGCACGGCAAACAAGTTCGACTGGCGAAACGCTGACCGACCGAGTCTCGTGCGTAGCCCGAAGAACAGTTCGCACCGAACAACTGAACTGAACGGAACGTAACGGAGCGTCAGTAGCCAGCTGCCAGTACTCGATGTGGCGCAACGGTAGTCGTGTCGGTCGGTTGTCAGTGATATGCAGCAGTGAACGCGCCAGCCTCACAGCTTATTGAAGTTGGTAACATCAGCGGAGACAGTGATAAGATAAGAGTTCGACGAGTGCCAATAAATAAGAAGTGATTGAAATGATTGTGTGTTAAGTCAAGTCTAAGGAGTTCTATTTTATTCATCAAGTGTACAAATTTCTACAAAATATAAATGTAAAAATTTACTAAAAGCTAAGAATTTACTCGTCACTCAATACCCGGAATATAAAGTTGTGAAATTTATGATTGTGCATTAGTTATAAAATACCGAGAAAAAATTAATTCGACTTAGTTTAATTGAAACTAAAAGTAATATATATATATATGCAATAATATTTAAATTAAAATTGAAATTAAATTGGCCCGTATATTTTCCAAGGCAAGTGGCTCCAACATTAAATTGAATAATTAATGTGTTATTCCAAATAAATTAAATGCCTATAAACTGAGAATTAGTGTGGGTGTGTGGCTGTGTGGTGGTTGTGTGGTTGTGTGCCTGTAGCTTTTCAGTGAATTCGTATTTGCTGCGCAGACAAAACGAACCGCACAAATTGTGCAAATATTGAAAACGTAAAATTCAAAGTTTCTAAGCTCAAATGCCAAAAATGATTAGCAAATAGATATGCTATTGCGCCTGAGGAGTCAAAATGCACACACTCATGCATATACATATGTATGTATGTGTGTATGCATGTGTATAACGAAAGATATGTTAATATTTGAACTTAAAACACACGCTGTTTTTGGCTTATATGCGATCTAATGTTGAAAAAACATTCAAATACACATTCGCGTGTATTATATCCAAAATTTGAGGTGTGTATATATGTGTGTCTGGTTCTTTGTGCGGCTCGAGTGTGTGTGCTGAGTGTCTATGTGTGAACGAAGCGGACAACTGTGCAAACAAGCCGCACTTTCGACTTGGTTAGACAAAGCCAAAAAGTCAGAGCACATATCATCCAGAATAAGAGCAAATAAACGCACAGCTTGTGTGTTAAAATTAAAGAAGTTAATGTGCTTTTGTCAGCTCTGTCTGTCTGTTTGCCAAAGACCAAAAGTATATTCTATAGCCATCATGTTGTTTTTTCTCAGTGTGCTTGGCTCCGAGGTGTGTTAATACTTGTCGAAGCCGCGGTAGCACAAACAATTGCATCAGCTTGAACTTTTCTCAATTTGTATTCCAATAGGAAAACAGAAGCCCAATAACAACAAACAGAAGGAAAACAAAAGCAACAAAAAAAAGTAAAACAAAAACTGAAATAATTTCGAATTAATTCAATCTCAGCTAATGCCCAAACTTTCTCCAGACTAAGACAATTCTATTCAAAGTTGTTCTATACAAATTGCTGGTATATTTAGTCTTGTATATATACTTAGAAGAACACAATCGCATTTATCGTAAGTAGGCACCTGCCCTTTACCTGTGCCGCAATATTAATTATTTTAAAAGTCCTGCGTTGTTTTTACTGCGGTGCCAGACAGCACCAGGGCTGAATTTTAATAATTCCATCCAATTTTCACGTCAGACTAATTAATTAGTTAATTATCCAAACCATTGAAAATCATGCCTCAAGTTGAATATCATAGAGCTCGACTATAAGGTATGAAAGTGGACCTGTATTACGCAAAGGTCATGACACCCGCTGCGCGGTAGCCGTGGCTCAAACGAGCTGTAGTAGCTGAAGTATCAGTTTCAAGAGGTGGCACGTGTAGAGGGTGAGAGTGGGTTGTCTGTGTGCCGGCTGACCTTTTGAGGTTTTGCTGATCCTAATGCAATCAACTGGATGCAGATTTACAAAACTTTGCTGCCTCAAAATGAGTGCTGGCCCAGCAGACAATGCCAAAACAGTTTAGCATGGCCAACAACTTTGTGCTTACAAAAGACCGCATATAATCACCACTTAAACTGTCCAGCGAGTAATCTATTTACAATTCCAATTCCAATTTGTGGCATGCACAGCATAATATGAAAACTTTTGCATAGTTATTTAAGAAACGAGCTGGTTATCTTTGTTGGGACACAACATTTGCGGGCGCTCTTTAATTATTTGCTGAGCATTGACAGACAGCATGTCGCGTATACGCAGCGTGTGCCAGTTTAAACAAAAGAGAGTCTTAGCGTTATTGGACTTTTAAATGACTTCTACTTTGGAGAATATTAATAATTGAAAGCAATTTTTAATTATTTATCATCAACAACTGACGGCTGACGTATGCTCTTTGCTCGTACTTTAAATTTTTATCACGTCAATGGAAAACAATTCAAACTTGCGCACCATTCATCCGTTTGACGGGGGTATATGATATTTTTCATTTCATACAATTAGCACTAATTGGCGCATTCTAAGTTGTTAAGCCAGTTGCTGTTTCGGTGTGGCTTTTAATGCCTTAAGTCCTGGCCATGTCCTGTGCCTTGACAGCTGACTTAAGATGCAAACACCGACTGGTCCGAGGGTCGTCTAGACGTAAGAATGAAAGAAGTTTCGCCTCATTTGGCGCTCTTAGGCCTTCAATTTTTGACACGTTATATGCAAATCGCATTACTCTGGTGCATGTGCTGCTCAAGCTCTGATACGATGACCCCGGGGCTCATGTGTATTTCATTTTGACTGGGCGGCTGGCTCGATCAATCAAATGCGCATTTGTATATTAATCGTGTTGATTAAGCGCCACAAGACTTTTAAACTTTTTCCATCCGAGCATGCGGCCAACGTAAACAGATTGACAATAGGGGAACTTTTCTTATATATACGTAAATATATATATATATGTACATATATGTATTTACTGTAAGCGATTAAAAAGCAATTTAGTAATGCAGCTTTATTTTATGCCATCAAATGCTTACGAGCATTAGTTGGCAATTAAAGGCAATTAGAACGAACTAAGAGTAAAACTCAAGTCTCAAGCTCGTTTTCCAAGCATCATTTTTCAACTAAAGTAGTTTTCTCGCTCCTACTTTGCAATCAATTTTGTCTCAATTAGCGATTCTTCTTGCTTGCATTCATCGATGACAATCCAATAGAGTAGTCAAGAAACGGACTTATGAATCGTAGTGACAGCCATAATGCCTATTATCATATCGATGCATATACATACATTGTTTTATGATTTATTTGTATTATACCATGAGCCCATTGAAAATGGGCAATCAATCATATATGTTCTTGATGGATATAGCCATGTCTATATGTGTGTCTGTCTGTGCGCCCGTATGCTGGAATGGGTGGAGGCAAAAAGCTAACTATAATATCAATAGAAACTCTTTTCAAATTACAATTTTAAAGTAATGTACCCAAAATTTGTATTATATTTTGCATAACGTCACCAAGATCCTTTTTGAAAGACGTTTGCTATTTTTATAAAATGTCAGTAGACTTCTCTCATGAAACTCCGATAATTACCTAGAATTTAAATACAAATAAACAAATAGCAGCGGTAGGCAAAACAAAGCATTTTTCCTATACGTATGCTCGCTTCACTTTTCTTATTTTTTTTTTACTTTGACGAACAGCTCTTGTTAATTTAATTTAATTGATTTTCTTTGCTTCTCTTTTATTTAAAAGAAATTTAACAATTTACTTTAATATTTCATAAATTTATGCCAGATTGAAACTGTATATTTAAAAGCGTAGATCGGATGATGTTTAGGGCATCTGCTAGTCGGGCATTCTCGATTATAGCTTTCTTACTTATTTTTCTATGTTTTGCTTGGCATTGCTTGTTTACTTTTCATTGCCACGTTGCAGTTAAAATAACAAGGTGCTGTTTCTATTTAATTTATGTTCATAAATTATATAAGAAAATTTAATTTTATGTAATTTTACTTGGAACTTGCACTGCAACGCGACGCTAGGTCACATTTCCGTGCGGTCTTGTCTTGTCGCCGCGTTGTATCTATTAAAGCTAATACGCGAGCTTTGGACTGAAATTCCCGGTGGCCGAGCTGAAGCCAAGCAAACCAGCTACCAGCAATCGAGCTAAGCGGCAGTAACCACTTTTATTTAATGAATGGCTTTGTAATTACGGTCGGTTAATTGGGTGGCAAAGGTCAACGGCGACGGGTTCGATGCTGCAACGCTGAATATTCAAATTGCCAGCATCAAATTGCTCGGAAACTCAGCTCAATAAATGCTGTGTGAATTGATGTTTAGCTGCCAAACAGGAAGTCATTTGCATCTGCGTTTGTACATAGCTCAAACCAGATAAAGGAAGTGCGGAATTGAATATGTTTGCAGTTCAGATAAAAAGGATAAAATCAGCACATCCCCTAGATCTGGCATTAAGATGAAAGCTTCTTGCTCAATACGCATGTTTGATTCAATAAAAAACTAAATTGAATATGTTTGCAGTGCATATAAAAAAGTATGAGTTTTATTCTTGGAAAGTAGTATACCTAACTATATTACTTTCAGAGTTTGCGCCAAGTTGAAAGCTTCTTGCTCAGCAAGCATATTTGATTCGATAACAAACTAAATTTCCATCATTTTCTTTACAGAGGAAAGTGAGCTGCATCCCACCTCGATTGCTGTAACTAAAATGGTTAACCTCACGCATCTGTTGCCTTAGCTTAACATCGAGGAGCTAAAATCATTTTGAATATGCAACCAAGCCAAGAGCTCAAGAGCTCAAACCCACAAGAGCACTACTAAACCACCGAAACCACTACTAAGCTCGTGCTGCTGCAACAAAGTATTACATACACATATAGAAATACTAAATAATGGATTTTGAGGATTCTCCACGTCTTCGACTACCTGTTAGCAACTCGTCTGCCGTTGCTGGAGCTGCCGATCTGCTGGACAGTGCAGCATTCAATGAAACGGATAGCAATTGGTCCGCAGCAGCGAATTTCACTCGGCTTTTCGTTGCAGCCGTCACGGAGGTGGCTCCCAACATAGCCAACTACACGCTCAACATACTGGATGCTGGCCTTGCCCTGGCCACAGAAGCCACAGCCACCTCAGAGGCTGCGGCTGCTAACAGTAATGGAAACTCTGAGGCGGCTTATGCCATTATGACCAATTCACGCCTGAATAGCTCAACGCTCGGTCACACCAACAGCTTGCACGAGTTATCGACGTTGGCGGAGCAGGTGCCGGAGCATGTAATGGACCATGCACCACAGCTGTCACGCTCTGGCATGCTCAAGGTTTATGTGTTGGCTGTGATGGCACTTTTCTCAATGCTCGGCAATCTGCTGACCATATGGAACATATACAAGACTCGAATCACGCGACGCAACTCTCGTCACACATGGAGCGCCATCTACTCGCTAATGTTTCACTTGTCCATTGCTGATGTCCTGGTCACCGGCTTCTGTCTGATTGGCGAGGCAGCCTGGAGCTACACGGTTCAGTGGCTGGCAAATGAGCTCACTTGCAAGCTGGTGAAGCTGTTTCAAATGTTCAGCCTGTACCTGTCGACCTATGTGCTGGTCCTCATCGGCGTCGATCGCTGGATAGCTGTCAAGTATCCGATGAAGTCGCTCAACATGGCCAAGCGCTGTCATCGGCTGCTCGGCGGCACATATATACTCTCGCTGGTGCTCAGCCTGCCGCAGGTAAATTCCCATTTGGCTTATCTCGCTCAGCTATAAATATCAAAATACAACTTCAAATCCAAAGACCAAATAGAAATCAATTCAAATTGATTTCTGGCGAATTCCTAATACTGTTTACTCTTCATCCGACGCTTTCATAACGTTCCACCCACTGAACAATTGCCAACTTATGCAGCAATTTGTCGCCTGCCATTAAGTCAAGCACAAGGCAGCAGTTGGGCCGCAGGCCGCTGCTCCGTCTCACCTTCTACGCCGAGCTTGGAGTTATATGTTTACTTTATGGCACGCATTCGCCCCGTGGCAGCGCGTAAATAGTCCGAGGAGGGCGTCGGTGCGTGGGTAGGCATTAAAACTGATTGCCTCTTGGATGTCAGTTAGCTAAACGTTGCTTTGGGTATCGGCACGCCCACCACACGTGCTCCGGCACCACATATCTCTCACCAGCCATGCGACCTTTCCGATAGAGTATATTCAGCTGCTTGGGCAAAGGGTTAGCCAGCAAGCGCAGCCCCTAACTGAAAAAACTGTAACGTTCACGCGCTGACAACAGAAATGAAATATTTATTTGCTCGGCATACTTTCCAGCATTCCGTTAGATTGCTTCCCATTGCAGCCCCGTGCTGGGGACTGCTTATCTGCTTGAATCCATTTCCTTTTGCTCATCTTTAATCATAACGGGGCGAAGCAAAAAAAGTCAACAGAACCGAAAGCGGATAAAAAATAAGAAAAACACATTTGACCATTTTCTCTTTTTGTTTGTTGTTCTAGCTGCTGTTGTTCCTTTGGTGTTGCTTTCATTGTTGTTGTTGCTGTTGTTGTTATAATTCTTTATTTTCACACTTTTATTGCATTATTTATTTGGTGTGCTTCGCCCTTTGTCTGTCGCTCGATTGCATATCTAATTGAGTTGGCCGGCAGATTTATGGCCCGCTGGCATTTTAATAGCCCTTGGATCTGCGAACGATAGACCGCAATCTGCAGATTAGTGAAGCATTCATTTCGGTCATGCGATCCACTTGTTTGCCATACCATAAAGGATTACTGGGCCACTCAACAAAATATTTATAATAAATACTCCATCTGAAAGCCAATAATATATATATTCAGCTGTCTTGTGTGAGTCACGGCTGTTCTCAAGGGAGCAGCAGACTCTCGATAAGCTAGCTTTGCCTCTTCTGAGAGCTGGCAGGTGGAGTAATTAGAGTCGCCTTTACTTGTGGTAAATTTAAGCTCAAATCAATTAAATTTTTTCTTTTCAATATATTTTTTTACATTTAATTTTTATTTAAAATCAATATCATGCTTGCTAATTGTATGTGAGTTCATGTTGCAAACAAAGGCTGTCATGAATGCTTGCTTCATTCCTTTGTGGATGAATCAGTTATCAGCTATCATTAACATTTCTGCAACTATTTAATATGCAGACTGAGAAGAGTCAGGGGATTGCCATGAATAGTAAATACAAGCATTGAATCTTTCTGCAGTGCCAGAAATTCATGGATGCTCAGTTTTGGCAATGGATATTTGGCTTAATTATGAGGGCTGAGTGAACCTTTATCTAATGGTAACTACGCACTTGAATAAACGCACAGATAATACCATGCATGAGATTCAAATAATACCTAATTTAAATGCCAAATCAGCAGACAACTCTTGGCGCTAACAGGCACCGGATTGCCAGTTATGTGGAAACTGTTTTATATATTCATTTCACAAATTGCTTTTCAGGTAGGCTCTTTTGGTCTCCAGGACGCCTTGAAGAGGTGTTTGACATTCATGTTTGTCTTAAAACAATGCAGTAACAGGACCCTTGACAAGAGATTACAGAGAATGTGACCTTTTCATTTTTTATAGGAAAGTGCCGTTAGGCTATCTGCTTACACATGTGGATGTTGAGGTTTATGGAGCTAGAGATACAGCCTATTCCATGGAATTCTCATGCTGTTCACTTGCATTTTGAAAACAGCTCTTTCTAGTTTATGAAATAAATAAGAGGGGAGACTTCATTCAGTTGAGACGCTGAAAAGTATGCTATCTATTTCACTAAATACTTCTTGATTCTCTTAGGTAAGCAGTAGTGCATATCTGCCAGTGTTATCTCTACCCACATAAGCATACAAGTGATACCCAATTAGTGAAATCGTGATTATATTTGCATATAATTAGTGGGCACCTCGCGTGGCGTGGGCGAGTGGGATTGTGTTTGGGCTCAGGCGCACATTCCCATATTTAAATACCGTACCACGCATTTGGCATAATTGCCTTTTTTATATCTTTAAGGCTTCCGGGCGTGGGCACAGAATCCGCTCAGAGATTACGCATAAGTTAAATAAATAAACACACTCGATGCGGCTGTCTCTAGAACGTGACAAATAGCAGCTTACGTAAAGTGCTCGTAATTCAAACTTGCTTAATTCAGCTACCTCAGCCAGACAGACACACACAAACACGCGCAGACTCACTCACACTCATACACACAGACTCACTCACACTTGCACACACACAATTAAAGTTCGCCCCTTCGAATATGTTACATAAAAGGTAATGCGATATTAAAACGTGATATTTGACACCGCATCTTTCCTTGGGCTCGGCGCCATTTGCTACTACTACTATTGCATAATTTGAAAAGTTCGCGCCGAACAACTTTTCGCAGCTTTCCCCGTTTGTTCCGTTATTAGGAAACTCACGCATTCAGCTCAAGTAATCAATAAGCAACGTTTCAAATTCAATATATGACTCCCGCTGTGTCGATGCTCACATTCTCACTCTCGCTCTCGCTCTCGCTGTCCCTCTCTGTTCTCCGATTCGCGCGTCTCAAATAATAAAACAAAATGAAAATTTACTTTCACTGGCAATAAACAACAAATGTTGATCCCCAGCCCCAGCAGCTGTGCACATGCGTGTGCGTCCTTGCTTTTCTTGTATTTTGTTTTCTGTTCCTTGCTTCTTCTTGTTTTTCGTTTATGCTTACGTCTTCCATCTTTTATGACACTATGGCACAGTATTTTGACTTTATAGAGCTGCGGGCTTTTCATTTTAGCGTTCCCAAAATGTAATTCATATGAATTCTGTTTTATTGGCTTATTTTTACTTTTTGCATCATCAAACGAAACACATCAACACATACACACACACATGCACACAAAGATGCCATGCATCACTTATCAGTCGGGCATGACAAGGTGCGATTGGGGACTTTAACTGATAGAGAATCCATGTTCAGCAGACAGGAGAAGCAGTTGACCTCACACTTATGTCTGTTCCAGCAGCTTTAACAGAATACTTAATTCTATGGCGAAGGATCTGTTTATTTGTGTTGGTCCTGTCATCATTATTCTTTTTCATTTTGGCACATCGTGTCGTTAAATTGCGTGGAAGTTATAAATGTACGAAATTAATAAAAATCAGTCCTAATACCGATGCCAAAGCTGATTCTAATGCTGATGTCGATGTCGATGCTGATGCTGATGCTGATGCTGATGCTAATGCCCGCCCACATGCTTTTAGCGTTTTAGTTTTACTACTTTGACGTTTAGTCGTCCCTGCAGTCGCGACAGCTGTTGACACTCCGAATGGTCAGAGCTTCGAGCTGAGCTCCAGGAAGCCATAAACTTTTCAAATGAACAGACTTTTAATGCATTTGTTACAATCCCACGAACGCACGTTGGCTAGATTTATTGATGTTCAACAAGGAAATTGCATAAACGAGATGTGTGCTAATGTAATTGATGTTTACAACAGAGCCACATTGCCTTTCTTGAAGGGTATAAAGTGTTCACGCATGTGAAGTAATTAAAATTAACAGTTGGTCGATTTTGCATATTGCATTTAAAACCAAATTACTATGATTCTAGTGAATATTATTCATGCACATTACGCTAATGGAGTTAATGAATAATTTATGGTTTGGCCAAGCTAAACGTGCTGCAAAATGTGAATTATGCATGCGATAGACAAGTGAGTTGCCTCTAGAAGATACACATTGTAAATTTGAATAGCCAGAGCTGAGAGTGCTCTTGTGGCACGCAACTAGGATAGCAATCGACAATCAAATGCTGTCCAACACACTCGAATTGGTAATGGCTAAGACGATGCGATTTAGAAAATGATTGGGGATTTCGTAAAAGTAATCAGGAAGATAAACATTCCTATTATTTCACAATAAATACAGCATCATGCAGTCGGTGTCTTTCCCTCTGTGTGTGTATTTTGATTGATGGAAGCAGAAGAGCCAATATTATTCAATCAAAAAAATAAACAAATAAAAACTCTTGAATATTTGTACTTTTGTGTGAGCGAATTTTAATCAAACTGCTTGTGTCATCATTTTTAATGCTATCCAACCACTTCTGCTGTCAACCACAATCTGGCACCCGGCACTCGGCGTCGGCATTTTTCGTCGGCAACTCGGAAACTCGGCATTTGGCATTTGGCACTTGGCACCCGCAGTTCTTCATTTTCCATGTGGCACGAGGTCCTTTCGTCGAGGAGTTCTATCAGTGTGTGACTCACGGCTTCTACACGGCCGACTGGCAGGAGCAGATGTATGCTACCTTCACGCTCGTCTTCACTTTCCTGCTGCCCTTGTGCATACTCTTTGGTAAGTACACATACACACATACATATGTATGTATATGTATATGTAGAGGTAGAGAAATAACTGTCCATCTGGATCCTAATGAAATGCAACAAATTTAAATATTTCAGGCACCTACATGTCAACCTTTCGAACCATCTCAAGTAAGTGGATTTCCAAATGTCGTGTCTTCCAGTAGAAACTATGTTAATGTCGGCTGGCATTTATTTTTGTCTTTGCTTTCTCTTCCTTGTCCACCTTATCAGGCAGCGAAAAAATGTTCCAGGGCTCCAAATTGGCCAACTATTCGACAACGAAACAGCTGCCCACGCAGACGAACCGGCAACGTCTAATACACAAGGCGAAAATGAAATCGTTACGAATCTCAGTGGTGATCATTATCGCCTTCCTCATTTGCTGGACACCCTACTACGTAATGATGATTATCTTCCTGTTCTGGAATCCAGATAAAAAGGTAAAGGTAAAGGAAGCTGAGATTGCCAATGCCAGTTTGGGTCACTTCTGTGCCAAGACGCTGGCTATTTAAAAAGGGTTATTTTGCAGTAGATTTGTCCTTTAAAGTAGCCTGGGAGGCAAAACAGAAAAATGAGGAAACAGCAAATATTTTGTTTTACGCAAACCATAACAAAATAGAAGAAATAAAATTCTAAACTTGGCGGAGGTGTTGGCTATGTGCACTAGGCGTCTAATTGTAATTTAAATATTTCATGCATCCATAAGGCTGCTTTCCGAGTATTTTTTACGCTTTAGGCACTCGAGCCTGGTAAAAATGTCAGCAATGCTCCTTTCATATTCCTAACAGGAATACCCTGTAACCCTTGCCTAATGTGTGCCAGAAGTTCTGCGAAGGCATTTCACAGCACTTTGAAGGCACATCAATCAACCGTCGATCCCCGCTGTGGGCGGGTTGAGCGAGGTGCTCTTTTTTATGCTTGGTTTGACGTGCTTTACGTTATGGCGTGAGCCAGTGAAAAAATGTGCGTTTTGCTGGGATATGCACAGCAAGGGACTGCACGGCTGCAAAACAATTGATTCAGTCAGCAGCTGTTCCAACATCCTTTTTTATAGCTACACTTTTTCGTAATTTCTGTGCCGTTGCCAGACGGGGGCCTAGGCACTACGGAATTATTTTTAATGCTCAATTTTTAATTAATGGTCTGGGCATATGACCGAGGTCTGCGGAATGTTGACTTGTTTACGGTTAACCATAAAAGCCTGTAGCATAAGGTCTTACGAGGACGTAAAAACCAGAAAAAGGTAAAACCAACAGCGGCTCAAGCTGCTGGCATGCTCAGGCTGGCAGACCACAAACAATAAGAAACATACAAAAAAAAAAAAAACGTAACAGACATATTGAAATCCTGTCCAAGTACTTGTAATTAATTTTTGTATGGACTCGCTTGCTTGCAGCTGGGCGATGAGTTGCAGGACGCCATCTTCTTCTTCGGCATGTCCAACAGCCTCGTTAACCCGCTCATCTACGGCGCCTTTCATCTCTGCCCCGGCAAGGGCAACAAATCCGGCACGGGCGGTGGAAACAACAATGCATACAGCTTAAACAGGTAAACAGCCGGTCGGGTCGGATGCTTCTCTTTCGAGCCAACCGAGGACTGATGCCCTTTTCTTGACACTTACAGAGGTGACTCACAGCGCACTCCCTCGATGCTGACGGCTGTTACCCAGGTGGATGCAGGTGGCAGCGGAAGGCATCTGCGCACCTTCCGCCAGCAGAGCTACTACCGCAGCTCCAGCAACGGCACCACCGGTGGACCATTCAAGGAACAGGTGGGCTTGCTGCAGGTCGGCAGCTCCTCAGGATGCGCAGCCACGCCTCAGATGATGAGGAAAAGCTCAACAGTGCGCAGCCCACATCCCAATCACAGCTCGGCGATCGCTGGCCGGCACTCGGGCTGTCTGCGCGAGCAGGAACAGCTGCTGCTGCAGTCGACGCCGTCCACGCTGGTGCTCAACTACGACAGCCAGCGCGGCGGCGTTGGCGTGGGCGTGGCCAATGGACACAAGCTGCTGACGGGTATCAGCCACCTGACGGACAACAACGAACGGGTGTCGAGTGTGTGAGCAGAGCTAGCGGCGATGGTGACGGTCGAGGCAGAGGTGGGTGCGACAATGCGCGCGGTGGAGGATGCTTGCTCCTGCTGCCGTTGCCTGAGCCAGGAACTAGTGCGGCGCCAACAGGAACTCCTAGAGTCAACCGGCTCGCCCGCACAATAAACCAGTCTAAGATGCTGTGAAATGTACAGTTAAAACGAAGCGACCACCTGGCGTGATGCGCGACTCTTCCAGTACTCGAGAGGTTGTTCAAGATTGCGTTGCCAGCGGGGTGGAGCGGAACGGAGCATGACGCTGTCGATGATCAGATCATCGAGCCGTGCAACATTTGATTAGTTAAACTAACTGAGAGTTAAGTCTTTGAACACTGTTCGTGTGCGTAGTCGTAACCGTAGGCTTACTTAAATAGCGAGTGTAGGACATAAGAGTGTGGCTGACAACTAAGGGCGTGACCGGAGAGATTCGTGCCGGTCCATAACTATATATATGCATATTCAATTATATATGTATTTGTGTGTGAGTGACTGAGTGAGTGAGTGTGAGTGTGTCTCTGTTTGTAAAAAGGGGAGTCTAAATGTAAATTTGATGATATTTTAATCGCCACAGAGCTCAGCTGTGCGAGTATTCATTTCGAATGCGGGGAAAAAACACGTTTTATGCGATGCCAATTTATGTATATGCAATTTTAATTACCTAGTGACATCGCTATACAACTATATATATTATATATACATACAATATAAGCAGTATCAAATGCGGAGCATAGGCAGAGTAGTTACTAGCTGAAGTCGGACAAGGAACACCACACTAGCTACCGAAATTAGTTGTAATGTTATTGCGAATTTTAGCTACCCGGATTAGTGCGGCAGCTGTAGTCCAAGCAGGTTAATTACATCGACTAAGCCCCTATAATACTTGTAAGATGTATGTACTTAACTTATATAGGTTTACGCCATTTGTGCATACAGACAAACATTTATATATAGGTATGTGTGTGCTGCCAAAATTAATGCACAGGCTGTCCATGTTGAAGCTTGATAAATGCCTTAGGGATTTCTGGAGGCCTCAATTAAATTTTATTTCTTCACACAGAAAAAACTCATAATTAACAAAAAATTGTGTTCTAGTCGGGACTAGTCGGCGAGAAGAAATCTGGCATACAGACAGACTATTAAACGAAGACAAAAATCCCATTTGTATGTATAAGAATCTCTAAGTGACTTTAATTGAGATTTATTTGCATTTGGGAACAATATTTATGTATAATATTTATGTACTTAATAACATTTACATATTATAAGTTGGTACCTTATCGATCTGCGAGTCCAATCCATTAGATGCAGAAAGCAGGCATTTCTTAATAGAGTAATATCAACCATATCGCACTAGAGAATTACCGACTTAACTTGTCGCCGTGATATGAATGGCAATAATATAACTGTTTGTTTGTATGTACAATGTATGTCAATATGTGTGTGTTTTCTTTGTACAATTTAGGTAATCTCTGTAAAATTTGTATAGTTTATTTTTTAATAAAAACCGAATGAGACCATTGCAAAAACATTTTATGAGCAAACTTTTACGCAGCACGCACAATTCAACACGTTGATGAACTAGCGCCTGGAATCCTGAAATGTCTATGCTTATGACAATGCCTGCGCCTGGGCTCGTAAATCTAGCTAAACTCCAACCCATCGGCAGGCATATTACACTTTTATGCACAGCACAGTTCGGCAGTTGGGTGGTTGGGTGGTTTGCTGGCTGCCTGGCTGGCTGGCTGGCGAGTCAGAAACTCAATCCCTCGTTATTTCTACCCACACCCAGAGTGGCGCAGTCGCTGAAAACGACAAACTGCTCCAACTCACTCAATCCCCGGCGAACAGTTGGCGGGCTACATATTTTTTTATAACTGCAAAGTTCGTGTCCAAATGCAAAACAAAATGCTGGGAAGCGACCAAAGGAACCAACTTCACTGCGCCCAAATATTTACTACGAAATTTTTGTTTAGCTGCTGTTTGATAAAAAAAAAAAGAAGAAAGTCGAAACCAATTTAGCAAAATAATGGAAAACGTGGATAGCTGGGTGTGGGACACAGGCGGAAGCTAAAGCTGGGGGCTAACGCCGACGCAGGGTGTTTAATGGTTGACCGAAGTTTGTTTATTGTGTATGCGAGCTGTAAACTCCACAGGAGGTGCGCTGGACACACCGTGTTGGCCACGTTCACATCTACGTCCTCAACGTCCACAGGCAAAGGACAAAACAGAGTGACACGTCCACCATTTGATGGCACGATATCTCACAAAATAATTCCCTAAATAGGCATCTGCTTGGTATTTAGGCATCGCGTTGACAATTGTGAGCTCGTAAATTCAAATTCGAATGCCATAAAGTGTGTACCGCTCCGAAGGCGGGACTTTTTTTGTTTAAGCTCACACGTTCACTCCTCGCAAAACAAATTCCAAATTCTACTTGACAACTTCCCGCTAGGACGCGTCACACAGCATTTGCATCCACAGTGATAAATAGGATTGGATATTTCAAGTATTTCGATTGCCCACACAGGTTAAACGACAATTAAATGGCATGAGCAGGGACAAAGGCCCAAGGAGGTGGGACCTTAAGTCAAAGCAGAACAATCAGAGTAATGAAATTTAAAATTCTTGTCAAGAATTAAGTCAACCTCATAAATCATTAGCTTTAATGGAGCGCAAGTACACATGTATGTGAAGCTTAATTCCAATACATGCATCCTAGCTTTGCTTTGACCTAAAAACATTTTGTTTCTCCTGCTGCCCCATGATACAAACAGCCTTTTATAATACAATTCTCAGCGATTAATGCCATTCATGCGTAGACCAATAATGATTTCGTAGCTCATCAAAACAAAAACATAAAAAATTCACATATAAAGGTTGCATGGAGAGCCCCAAGTGACTCATCAAAAATTTATGACCCGTACATAAACCAAATGTATGAGTATTACATATGTACAAGAATGCCTTCATTATTCCAAAGACCTCTAAAATATTCTATAAATAGAATATCGTTGGCCTAAGGACCTTACAAATATATAATAGTTTGTATTTGCTTTTTGGTAAATAATCTATTTTCAATTAAATTTGTTGCATTATTTTTGTTTTTTCTTCTTTTGCTTAACAGTTTTTCGCTTAGATATAGGTCAGAAACAGAGACAACTCAATGAACACCGCGTAATGGCGGATTTTCTTGCGCTTGGAAGTTCAGCTTAATATATGTATGTATAATTCGTACCATAGACTTTCGGGCATGTTCTATCTCGTGCTAACCACCGCTTCCTTGCGCGCTGCGTCCTGCAGGAGCTGCGTGTCCACCTCATCGCCGGGCAGCTGGACATAGCGGACCACGGAGCCGCGGATGAAGCAGTTCTTGACGCTCAACATGTGCGGGTATTTTTCGGGATCTGTGACGCTGATGTCTGTCAGCTTTATATTGAGATACTGGTCCACGGAGTGCAGTGTACCACATATGCTGAAAAAATGCCGGCTTTAATTTCACTTTTATGGATTGACACGCGCCAAAAGCGACTCTTACCTTAGGTCATTTTTCAGTTCGACCACAACTTCTTTGCCAACCAGCGACTTGAAGAATGAATAGAATAGCTGTATACGGAATGGATTTGCTAGTTTAATAGTGTTATTCATATATATTTTTGGCTTACCATTGCAAATTACAAGATTTTCTGTTGTTTATTAAATCTGCTTCTTCTTACGTCTACAGCAGCTGCTTATTAACACTGGCACAGCCAAATTTGAGGCCACCCTAGAAAGTTAACAGCTGCTAGTTGTACAGCGAGCAGTAACAGACGCCACAATTGTGTTAACAGCACACATCGCCACCTATTGGTCAGGAGGCAAATGTGCACTGCTTTACTCTTGGCTGAATGTAATGCTGAGAACAGCTTTCAAATCACAGACTATTTATTCACAGCTCCTAAAGAGCGCCACCACTAATACAATATTATCAGTTATCAACAATAGAAAGCGGTAGTAGTGCATGGCGTCAACTTCGTTTTGGCCGCTAGAGAGCGCCAGCAGTATATAGAAAGGTATTACACTTAGCGTAAAAAAGTAAGCATCTCCATCATTGCTATGACAAAAACAATATAAAATAAAAAATTCGTTAGCTAGCATCAAAATCTGAAAACATATCGGCCACTAAAAATTGTCTTACGGCAACCAAGTAGTATTAACAACAAACTGTTTGAATTGCACTTGCTAATACATAATTTATTGACGTTTTTAATTTAAATTACATTTTTATAACAATTTTTTGGTTCTAAAACTATTTACAAACATAGGCTCACATTGATTTTATCTTTCGGCTTCTCTACTTATTTACTTAAGTCGAACTAACAATAATTCTCGCATTACCTCTCGTTTATATCGCTGTAATGCAATTTTCTTAAAACTTCGTTTAGCTTAAAAATCACATTTGATCATTTTTACTTAAAATCTCAACTATCCCACCACAAAAAAAAAGCCGACTGGCGAAGTGACTTAGTTGCCCGTTAACCAAGGAGTTACAATGCCTACCAACACATGCTCGCAACTCTAACGCTAATAAATTCGTATGACTACGACTCTCTGTCTCTGTCTGTCCGTCTGCCTCTCGCTCGGTTGCTGTCTCTGTCTAATGGTCCGAGCTAAAGTACGAGTTCTGCATGAGATACAGCTTGTCGATGGGGTTGATAAGGCTCGTATTCAGATTGGCCAGCATGTCGTGCGGATTCGAGTGCTGGTTGTGATTGCCCGACGAACTGGTCGACTGCAGCTCCAGATTGTTCAAAGACAACGAGTCGGCGTCATCGTCCAGCTGGTCGAAGTTGCTGCCGTCCAGCGAGAGGTCGGAGCTGCAGAAGCTGTCATTCGAATTGGCCGGATAATCTGCAGCGAGCAACAATAATTAGCTTAACTGGAGCACAGTGAAATAGGGATTAGTTGAACTTACCATCCGGTGAGAAGGGCAAGTTCGGATTGAGCGGTTGACTGGCGAAGGCGCTGTCCATGCCGCCCAGAAAGCCGACATTGTCGACGCCGTGCTCCTGCTTCACGCACTTCTCATCCTTCTCGCTGGCATCCTTGTCGTCGGAGGCGCCGGCGCTGCTGTTGCCACGGCCTGAGCCTGAGCCGCCAGTGGCACCGCCGTTCTGCTTGGCCTTGCGCTGGATTTTCTTCATCTTAGCTCGCTGGTTCTGGAACCACACCTGCACCACACGCACCGACAGACCCGTGTCCTTGGCCAGCGCCTCGCGCACCTTGCGACACGGCTTGGGCGACTGATCGAACGAGGCCTTGAATTGTTTGCGCTGCTGGGAAGTCAAAATGGTGCGAGGTCGCTTTGGTCCGCGTCGGCCGTCGCGTGGCCGCAGCAGATCCTCCTCGTCGAGGCCGACGAAGCCGCAGTGCTGTGCAGCGGCTGCCGCCAGAAACATCTCCTTGTCCAAATCGTGGCGATAGCAGAAGAGCTGGCCATCCCGCAGCATGAACTGCTCGCCCTTCTGGAGCGGCAGACGGCAGGCGTAGCACACGAAGCAGGGCAGATGGAATACATAGTTGGGTATGGGCCGCATCACCAGCTCCTGCGGCAGTATGGCATGGCAGCAGCCGGCACACTTGACCCCAAATAGACGGTCGTAGTCCAGCTTACAGTAGAGCTTCGAGTTGCGCACGTAGCAGGTGTGGTGCAGCTGCATGCCGCAGTAGCAGCAGGCGAGGCACTGCTCATGCCAGTTGGCATCACCCACGTTCATCAAGTAGCGATCATGGATCTTCTGCCCACAGCCCTCGCACAGCTCGTAGTTCTTCTCGCATTTGATGTGGCCAACCTCTGCAAGAGCAAATCAAAATAAAATAATGCTTGTTAGTGAGCCATAAAATCGATTTACTACCCCACTGCCACTGCATAGCCGAAAGTAAAAGAAGAAGAGCTGATACCCTACGTGCTGGCAGCATGTGTCGCTGCACAAGCAACGGCAGGACGCGAATGAAGCATGAAGCATGGAGGCGAGTACGTTGTCAAATCGTGTGAAAATGTTTTCTCTTTTTGTTCTGCTTTTCGCTTTTTTCTGTTGTTGTGCTTATGCTCATTGTTTCGCACTTCTGGCCCTCGGCAGTCACAAGTGAAACAGAGGAGAGAAAAAAATTATCTGTCGCTGTCGCTGTCGCTGTCGCCGTCTCCGGCGCGGTAACAGCTTGTATTGATAGCTCCTTGATGCGTAATTGAAACGTAAAGTTTGCTAAAATTTTGCCAGTCTGAAATTGATGAGCCCCAGAGAGTCACTGAAAGAAGCTGTTCGAGGTATTATGTGAGCATGTGAAGATTGCCTAGGTCGGCAGAGAAAGTCAAGGCCTCAAAGCGAGACGGGATGTTAAGTCATATGTTGTTAAAGGTTACTACTGCTAGTCTATTGAGAGTCTATCTTTGATCAAGGAGAAGCTTCACATAGTACAGCTTTGAAATTAGATTCCTAATCGGTTGCATCACTAATAGTGGCCATATTTTGGCTCCTCCATATATAGTTTAGACCATAGCTTAATAGAAATGTGCAGAAGATTAATATGCGTGCGGGAGTAACTCGACTAATCTCTGCACATGCACGCACACTTCAAACTGTAAACCAGTCATAAAAAGCAGTGAAAAAAATGGAAAGAAAAAAACAACAAAAGCTGCAGCAAACATAAAAAGAGAAATGACGAGCGCCATGAGAGTTGGTTGGAAGCAACTGAAAAATATACGACTCGGAGTCAGGGGAGAGGACGCAGAGGAGCTGCTCCCATATTATATGACTGCGGCTCACTGGCAGAAAAATGTGCATGATTTATGGTTGGCACAATGGCAGCCCCCAGCCTGATCTACGAGACTGTGTGTGTGTGGGGGGGAGGGCGCTAAGCGAGCAGCGAAAGCAGCTCAAAGCCAGGGCTGTGCAACTGCCTGGACTGCTAAGCCAGCGCAGCGTTAAACTGACAACAGGAGGAGCAACGATGGCAGGCAACTATATGGAAATGGGGCAGGCGGCATCGTTCTGCTGATGGCGATGGATGCGAAAAGCTGTTGGTATATCGTTTGCTAAAACGCGCGCCCTCGAAAGTATGCTATAAAAAAGCAACTGCAATGCCAATGTGTGTGCGTGTGTGTGTGAGTGTGTGTGTATCAAATCGTATTGGTGATAACGCGCAAATGTTGCTGCAGTAACTTTTTGGGGCTGGGGTTTTAGGATCACTTGATAAGTCCCATTTCGGCAATTCCTTTTTTGCAATTCGACTGTGTCCTGCGACTATTGTGAATGCAATATTGTGGCATGTTTTGTCCTTTTGCGGAGCAAAGCCCATTGACACTCCGCTTTGTGTAATCTAATCGGAATTTATGACCTTTGCTGCAGTTTTATGGCATTGCGTTTATTTTTTGCTGTTCCGCTGCAGCCAAAAGACAATTTCTGTGAAATGTGATAAAACGCGCAGTGTATATATGATATTCAAATTGAAAAGGCAAAACAACACATAAATGTATTTGCATTGTTCGCATTGGTATGAATGTACAATTGGAAGCGCAACAGAAGCTGGCGGCGGGGCTGCTGATTGATTAGCACTTGGCCCGGTCGGGGCGAAGCTTGTCGGCATGGCAAAGGAACAGCAAATACAAACACAAACACAGCTAAAACAAGTGCGAGACACTCATGTCAAATGGTGCGATTAAACAGCAGATAATTCCAAAATCAACTCGTTGATAAACGCGCGCACCCATAAACATTGACAAACAGTTAATAGGGAACAGCACCCAGGGCAACGTTATCAGCGGTGATCGCGTTATCATTTGGCTTATCGGCGACAGCGAACGGCGTCTCTGATTAGGACATCGCTGACATTCAACTCCGCCCGCAGCTCGGCTTTATGGCACATTTATTGACACATTGACAGGCGAGCGCGGGTCTATGATGATAAATTGACAGAGCGGCAGCAGCCAAAGTTGTGGCATAAATTTTGGGCTCAAGTCGCGGCCAAATAGTCCACGTGGCACGCAGATTTTGGCAGACAACCTGTGACAGCTCATGATACGAGGGCTTTAATTACTGCGCCCGCAATTTAAAGCTCGCCCAGCCAGCCCAGCCAACTTCAGCCAGCTATGCATATGTCACACACTAGCTGACGTGGCTGACATTAGTGTCAGCTCGAGGCTGAAAGGTGGGCCAAGTGGTGTAGCTAGCTGACTCTGCCAGCTCCTCACTCACTCTGCCAGCTCTCGAGAGTTTTCATTTCCGAAGTTGGGGGCCTGGAAATTCCTCAGCCATTTGCAGCTGCCGTTGCCACTTCAACTGCAGCTTGACTTTGGTTTTTGGTTTGGTTTTCAGCGTCAAAATCAAATTCAAATTCAAATTCATAGATGAGCAATGCTCAAGTTTGACAGTAAAGTGATTGGCAGACGGAAACTATTTGCTGCCATTTTAGCCAGGCATTAATAGACATTTCATATGCAAATACGAGCATAAAGCTAGCTCGTCCAACATCACAACCGTATCTACGTGTGTGTGTGTGGCGAAATATTTGCGTGCTTGACAGAGCTCGCCCAGCTTGGGGTCCGGGTTCGCATATGCATGCACACATTGTTTGCACACTTTGCATTTTGGCCAGAATTTCGTAAAGTTTGCCAGCAACACTTTCGTTGCAGCTGCTAAAAAGTGTTGCCTACTTCGAGGCGCCCGCAATGAGTGGGTGGCTCTGTGTGTGTGTGTGGGACTCTGTGTGTGTGTGTGTGTGTGTGTGTGTGTGTGCGAGTCTGTTGCATGCCTTAATCGCCTTTCATTGGTTGCATGCAAACATGCACACGCACAGTGCATGTCAGCCTGGTTCATTGTCAAAATTATTTTGTGGTCAACTTGCGTTCATAGTTTTGGTTATGCTTTTGCCGTCGGAACAAACAATTGTTATTATCATTCATTTGCTGCAGCCTCAAAGCTTCATTTGTATGTCCGTTGCAAATCAATTAAATTTTATTTGGTTATGCCCTGGCCACAATTTCGGTTGATGTGTTTTTATTTGATAACGTTTCCGAATGCAATTCGAATGTCTTATAGCCAATTCAGATTAGTATAAATATGCTTTAAATTGTTTGATTGCTAATCTTCCTAAGACTGTTTCTTTTATTTTTTTAGTAAACAAGAATAAGTTTTACTTTTATTAGCTTTATTTTTCAGCTATAAAATTATCTACAAATTTAAATTTTATTTTTCAATAAATAAACTAAAAATTTTCTCAAATTCCCAAATTTTTGCCGATTGATTTACCAAATCATCATTTGATGAACTCAAAGTGAAAGTGAATTAAAGCTTCGATGCGTCAGCCACATCAGCGGCAAATGCGAGACGCAGCCCCAAAACCTAGAATATCACACGCAAATTGCGAAAATAATTTGGGCCAAGTTTGAGAGCGGTCGGGTGTGGGCGGCCGTGCGGGCCAGCAATGTAAACTAGCCGTAAGTTGAACACGTTAGACGTGGAGCCAAGCACATTGGGCTCGGGTCTTCGAGCAACGCCTGCATGCCCCAACGCAGCAGCGCCAAGCCAGCCGGCTGCCAGAATCTGGCCATGCCCCACACGCCAGGCAGCACACACAACTATGCCAAAAACGAAAAACGTGGCAGCCCCCAACGGAAACGGAACGAGCCGGTAAATGCCTCAACTGCCGGTGCAAAATACTTTTGGAACATACCTGTGCGTCCACTGCAATCGGCAGACAATTTCGATGCTGACGCCAGCGCCAAAGCCGACGCCGTCGCCGCTGCCGCTGCTGCCGAGGCTGCCGTGGCTCCACTTCCAGTTGCTGCTGACGATGGGGCAGAGACGGCTGCTGTTGCTGTTGTTGCGGCAGCAGTAGCAGCAGCAGCAGCTGTTAATGTGTTGCAGGCGGAGTTTTGGCTCTTGCTGTTGTTATGGTTGTTGTTGTTGTTGTTGTTATTATTGTTGTTGTTGCTGTTGATGGGACTGTGACCTGTGGGCGTTGGGCAGCTGTTAATTGGCGTTGGCGAGACCGCGTGCTGTTGCTGCTGCTGCTGTTGTTGTTGATGTTGCTGTTGTTGTTGTGAGGAAATTACAGATGCCGTTAATGAAGCTGTTGCTGCTGGATTGTTGCTGTTGCTGTTGCCGGAAATGTTTGCTGCCAAATTGCTGTTGCTGTTGTTTGTGTTATTATGGGCATTGTTATTGTTGTTGCTGCTATTGCTGTTGCTGTTGTTGCTGCTGTTGTTGCTGTTGTTGCTGTTGGGCAAACAGGCGGTCGTCATGTTGCTGTTTACATTTGCCGTTGCACTGGGACTGTCCAGGAAACGTGCGCCTCCATGGTTCTGCTGCAGCGAATATAAACTGCCACCGACTTGATTGAGGTTCGTGGGCATTGGATAAAACTCCAACATTTTATTGACACAATTAGACGCGCGCACTGTTGTTCCTTTTCTTTTAAGTTCAGTTCAATACAATTGGGAATTGCTTTCGATTTGAATGAGTGGGTGCCTCAAATCACATGTAATCTGCACTCTAAACACGAACACTTGCACGAGTTGAATACTTCTATCTGCCAGATGCTGTGGCTAGCGCGCTGACAACCAGCTGAGTCCGCTGTCAGTTTGCGTGTGATCGAACAATCAGCGAAATCAAAGCATTTCACTTTGCCTCCAGTGCTCGATGCCGACTGCTGACTGCGGCGGCCAAAAGTCCCAGCCTAAAATGTACCCCCGCACACAGCACAGCACACTCACTCACACTTACTCACACATCACAGGCATTGCGCCTGCGCATGTTTACAAAAGCAACGGCAACGGCAACGGCAGCGACTGAGCATGAGAATGAGAAGAGTCTGGGAAATTCCCAGTGCACGCGAAGGGTTGCATGCAACACGGCCAGCCAATGTCTAACCCCCAAACCCTGTTCCCCTGCCGCGCACTGCGCATGTCTCAAGTGATTATTAGCAGCGAGGGAAATTTACTCATGCGTAATTTCCCTTCGCTCGCAGAGGCCACACCTCAGCGACTCTCTGATTGGCTGGCCGCTTCCCCGGCAACCATTTTCCCTGGTGCGCATGCCGTCGAAGCCCTTACACAGGGGAATTGCATGAATCGTTGACGTTGTTGTCGTCGTTGCTGTTGTTGTTGCTGTTGCTGTTGCTGTTGCCTTTACCGTTGTCGTTGTCGTTGTCGCAGCCGTCATCAGCCACCGACTTGAACTTTTTTTTTTTGTATTTTTTTATCGTCTTGGCATAAATTTCTAGCAAAGTTCTCAGCTGGGCGGTTGGTCGGACGCTGGCGGTGTTGGTGGTGGCTGTGGTGCTTGGGTGTTTGGTGTTTGCCGTTTGGTGTTTGCTGATTGCGCACAAAGACATACTTAGAGTCGCGGCAACTTTGGTGTGTTCGTTGCACGCTGCATTGGCCATTTCTTATGGCTTTTTCCATTTTTTTTTCGCTGCTGCCGCTGCTGCCGCTGCTGCTGCTTTGAGTGGACCAAATACATGCTGCTAACGGCGGCCTTGTCTTTTTTGCCATTTGCTTTCCACTTTTTGTTTGGCTGCACAAGTTGGGCAACAGCAATGCCAGCGTTGCAACAGGGTGTTGCAAATGGGCAGAGTCGAGGCATTGCTCTGGGACAAAGCTAACGGCACTCTGTATAGTTGAATGCTCACAAAAACGCAGCAAACTGTCAGTCGAGCAGTCGACCAGCTTTGGCTTCTTACTGTCGCACTGGCTCACCCACTTACACACACACACGCACACAGAGAGAGGGACTTGCAGGCTAAACACAAAAAGAAAGCCGAGGCAACAACAAAAAAGAGAAAATGGAGATGGCGGAAACTGCCAAGACAAACCAAACATGGCGCTGTGCACAAAAGTTTGGCTCTACTTCAGCTGCTGTTGCTGCCGCTTCTACCGTTGCCTTGGCTTTGGCTTTGGCTTTCTTCTTTTGTTTTCTGCTTTCGGTAACTTCTAGTTGGCTTTTGGCTTAAGACTGGGCTTTGGCTATGGCGATTTTGCACAAAACTTAACGTCTTTTTCTTGTTCTCTTCACAATGCCTCCCGCCTCCCGCCTGCTGCCTGTTGTAACTGCTGCCAATGTAGGGTATGCCAAAGAAACTGTTAATGCCATTGAATCAGGCCATAGTGGGATTTTATAATTTTCCCAAAGATATTCAGAGTTTTTTAATGCTGTGACTAAGTTCCTTTGCTGCTCATTCAAAATATTTGCCCAGTCCTGTTACGCTATTCACTTCACGTTGCTAATCTGTATCAAAGTCCACACTCGCATGTGCAGTTTTATTGCCTATTATTACTACTATTTTGTTTTTGTTTTTGGGGGGGTGTGTATAGCTCAGCGTAAGATCTTCCCTAAAGCGTGCATTTATCGTGGCCAAAACCTGCGAATTATTATTTACGGCGTGCCATAAAGATTAACTGACTCATATAGACATAAATATACGTTTTGACTCATTCCATATCAGCCAGAGATACGAATCAGCGCGACAATTCAATTAGCCCTAGCAACAATCGAATAATACCCTCGCCAAATACACACACAAGCCGACCTTTCCGAATAGGTAGCCATGATGATGATGATGACGGCAGCGGCGGCAGAGGTAATGAAATCAAGTTGACAATGGGCAAAGAGTGGAAAATGTCGCAGGCATCGAGCGGAACAGGATCGATTGTGGCCAAGCCAAATGTTTGGGTACTAGAAACAAATTTAATAAAATATCTAAAAACAAAAAACACAAAAAAACGGCAAAGGGTAGCGCGAGCCTCATTGCACGCATTATATATATGACTGTGTGAGTGTGTGTTTGTGTGTGTGTGTGCGAGTGGTAGCATTGTGTGCAGAGTAATATTGAATAACCACAAGAACAGCAACAACAAGAACAACAACAACAGCAGAGCACGCTCGACAGCCCGAGGATAAATAGTTTTTGTGTGGCACTTCAATTACCATTTGAGCATGATAAGCGCTAAAGAGGCATCAAGAACAAGTAAACTGCCAGACCGAGAATGGAAAGTGGTAAAAAAAAAGAAGCCACTGGCAGCCACAGAAGACGGCTTGAAAATGTGCCCAAGGATGCACGCAGCATGGAGTGGAGGGCAGAGTGAAGAAGACCCTGGACCACCTCGTGGCATTTGTGTGTGAAATCAAGCAGCAAACGGAGCAGAGCCAAGCAAGGACTCGTCGATATATGATTAGGCATCGGGGCATCGAGGCATTGAGCCAGCGAGAGATAGGGGTCATTAGGGGCTGGCTCTTCGACCGAGGCAACTATTCATTCACCTCCACATGCCCATTGAGGAGCAGTCAAGTAGAAGGCCGCTCTCGCTTGGGGTGGGTGGTGTCATTGCTTTTGTTTGTTTGTTTTGCCAAGACGCACGACCCACTCCAGGCATAGGCCAAGTTATTTTTACTTTGATGGGCAGCCAACGTCTTGGCAACAATAACAACTGCAGCTGCAGCATCTGACGGCGCGCCCCGAATGCTGCCCAGGCAAAGTAGAAAAAATAGAAGCAGCATAAATATGAGAAAAGGACACGGCCAGTCCTTGTAAAGTGTGTAAACAAAGGCTGCGTTGCAGTAGTTGCACCCGCTATGAGCACGCTGCATGCCACGGCCTGAAGTGGGCTAATTTGACGAGCCCCTGCGTGGCGAGCGCAACCCCCAAGTCCAGGGCGACTCGGTGCCAGCGTCCAAAATACAAAAGTGTTAAAGGATTTATGCGCGTAATTTTGCAGATGTTTAGATTTCAGATTTCAGAAACTCGCTCTGCCAAATTAGTTCCTGCCCGGTGTGCGGACTTGTGTCAACAGCCCCGATCTCAAATGCCGATCCCCGACGCTCGACGCTCGACGCCCGACTCCCGTTCCCGATACCCCTTCTCGCTTTCCAGTTCCAGCATTGACAGACACGCTGTCTACTCGACAGATAGACACACAGTCCCTGTGTGTTATATATATATTTGTGTGTGCGTGTGTGTGTGTTTTTGTATGTGAAGTGGCGCAGCGTGTGCACAATTCAGTTTTGGGCAGCATTTCTCTCATTGAACGCTGTGAATACAGCGCTCTGTTTGCTTCATGTCAACTTTGCGCTGCACTCCCATATAGAGGCCGATCCGAACATATTAACTTCGTCACGATTTGAGCTTGGTTCTATGGGAGTTTGCCCGCTGAGCTGCATTGTCGTTGTCTGTTTATTATTTTCGCACTCGCATTCGGTTTGTTTGACTTGCGAAATATGATTTTCGCTTTTGTTTATAATTAGGCTTTGGGTGCGATTTGTCTGCTCTGCCCCAATCTGATCGAATGTTTATGCTGAGCTGTGAACCCAACCGAATGCTGCCCAATTATATACAGCTTAGACTGTGTGAACTCTCAAGCTAATACTCCATCCACTCTGTGAGATTGTCAAATTGAAAATGATTGTATTTTTCTGTACTTTGTTTTAGTGATTTTTTAATTTGCGGCGAAGCCAAACACGAAATACAAATATTGGCAATAGTTGCCTGCGCTGGCAGTCGGCCCACTTTTGGCGTGGCCAATATTCATTTGGCGTGCGTCGAAGCGGCAATAAATTGCTGGCCCACTGACAATTCATCCCAGTGGATACGGGCCGAAATGGTGTGGGGCATTGGGCCTTGGGGCTCGTAATTCATATGGGCGCACTTTGAGCCGCATAAACCATAAACGCATAAAAATTATTTTTCAAACGGTCGCCGCTGCGTATCGATGGCTGCTCAAATTGTTTGCGTTCGCCGTTCGCCGTTCGGTGTTTGGCGTTTCGCAGTTCAGCGCTCGGCGTTCCGGGTTCAGCTTGACTATTTTTCATTTCGGTGGCCATTATGGCCATCCGTCTGCACCGACTGCTCATATTTTCTTTTCGCTTGCCGGCACATTTTCCAATTTCATTTGCGCTGCGGACGCGGAATGTTAGCGCGTCCCCCGCTTTGCTATCGCTTTGAGGGTCTTACTGGGCGCATTCATCATGGACGGCACCAAGGGGTCGGTGACGGGGACAGCGATGGGGCTATCCAAGAGCAGTCATCATCATCGTCATCGTCATCGCCATCGCCAACACCAACAACATGGCCATCGACAGCGGAACAGAGAGAGGGAGAGAGAGAGAGAGAGGGCAGGAGTTTGACTATTTGGCTATTTGGCCGTTTGAAAAAGCAACATTTCAGCCATATTTTTTCTTGCTTTCAATTTGGCGCTGCCAGCTTTGGTCATTTTTCATAGGGCTTTTGATGCGTAACCCGCCAATTCTCGTGGAACGCCCCCTCAACTACCGACCTATATATATAAACTTTCGTTTTTTTCTTTCTGTGTTGGTCCGAACGCGTTGGAGTTGGCATTGGTCGTTGCCTTTGAGCGATTTGAAGTCAAGTGTAAAAACCGTTTTGGCTAACAAAAAGCTGTATACCGCTTAGCAAAGTCAAGTGTTTTTAAGTTTAATTTGAAAAATATTTGAATTTTTGCTCATTTCTTGGTTCACTGCGCCTCCATCTGAAACTGCTCCTCCCTACCATCCAGCTCCTGCTGCTTGAACAATAATTGGTGCGAAAATTTTGCCCCTTAGCAAGCAATGACAGCTATCAATGGGAAAATCCATATCGAGTCTGCGACTCTCTGATACATTATTTGACTGT